GCTATAAATTGCATCCTCGCGCGCTTGCGGCTACAGTGAGTGAATACCAATTGATTATTTCAATAAAAATGGTCTACAATACCAACATTACGGATCAGATGCGTGGACATGTGGTTTATCTTGGCGCGAAGGGAAAGTATTCGTTACGAAAAATTGCGGAAAAGGCGGGTGTTTCGAAATCAACTGTTCGTCGTATTTTAAGTATAAAAGCCGCAAAAACCAACCATTATCAGCGGAAAGACGAGGAAGGCCCAAAAAATTGTCACCTCGAGATAGACGGCACTTATTGAGATCATTATTTAAATTGCGCGAAAACAATCCTGGCTTTTCAATTAAATCTTTGGTCGCTTACAGTGGACTCCATTTATCCGGCATTTCGTACAGAACATTTTATCGAGAGCTGCGTAGTGAAGGTTTTCAGTATCTACAAGCGCGCAAGAAAGGACTAGTAAGTCGATCGGACCGCGTTAAACGAGTGAAGTTTGCACGAGAATGTAAGAAAATACTACAAAATGAGCCTACGTATTTCCACGAGGTTATTGCCTTTTATCTCGACGGTGTTTCATTCGTGTACAAGCCAAGACCAATGGCGCAAGCCGTAGCACCAAAGGGTAAAGTGTGGCGAAAAAGAGCCGAAGGTTTAAAGATTACGGCTAAAGGATCCAAAAATCTGGCAGGGGGAAAGCGCTTGCATTTACTTGTTGCAATTGCATACAACAGGGGAGTGTTTTTCGTTGAGGAATATACGAAGATGAATGGCGCATATTTCAGTGATTTTGTAAACAGAAATTTCCCGGTCCTATTTCATGGACGAGAATGCAGAAAGATGTTTATCATGGATAACGACCCTTCGCAAACAAGTATCATGGCATTGAAAGCTATCAAGGATCAAGCTGCGCAGCTTTTCTGTATACCTGCTCGTTCACCCGACCTCAATCCAATTGAAAATGTTTTCCATATAGTCAAAAGCAATCTACAGATGCAAGTTCGAGCGCAGGGAATCAATCATGAAACATGGATGGAGTTCAAGGAGAGAGTTTCTAAAACACTGCTAGATACTTCTTTAGATTTTATAAATAACTTAATAACGAGTATGCCTAGACGCATCGACGCAGTAATGGCCGGAAAGGGCTATAGAACCAAATATTAGCACGTTTGTTCGCTAGGCACGTGACACTGAGCTCACTAGGCAACGAAGCTCACTTAAATCTAGACCTTATATTGCATCTTATATACGCTGTAACTGACTTACCAGAAACTTTTATTTAGCAAAGTCATTATGGATCATTGATATCAAGCCTATAATATCAGCATGCTTCATTTTACAACTATTGAGAACGATACAAACAAGTGAGAGATGATTTTTGTCCAACGATTCTCGCTTGCGCCATAGAAAGGGCAGAGACATATCAAGTTCATTTACTATGTTTGGGTGAGCTTCGTTAGTTATATGTAAAATTTTAATTTTTTTTAACATTTTTGACTATAGAATATTGTTAACACATACATAGTGTTAGAAAATGAACAAATGTAAACTATATTTCTTCAAAAACTGCGACAAAACCGTATTTTAGACTGAGATTCGTTGGTGAGCTTCGTTCAGTAAATGGTTTGTTGACAGACAAGTATATAATTACTGCTAATTGTCTTATCCCGTTAATATATTATTGTTTGCTAACACTCAGCATTTTGTAAAATAAGTTTGGCAAAGCAAGAACTACAAGGTTTCATCTGTTTTTGCTCTTCTTTTGGTATTTGGCGATGTAATTTGAACATACGCCATCGGACCTCCATCATTTCAGTGTTGACTCGATCGACACTTCCCCCATTAACTAAGGCAAGAGGGGCGTCACTAGTCGCAAAAAATGGCGTGTCCTTGTCCAACACAATATCCTTTCTCACAAAATTTTTAGGGGCTGGAAAATGCACGATATCACCCTCTAAAACCTGCAAAAACTCACACCATGGTATAAGGGTAGGTTTCCATCTCAGATCATTAAGTAAAACCACCTGCGCTTGGTCTACGCCAACCCACGCAAAACTCCCAGAGGCAGGATTAACAAAGCACTCATAGATGGTTTTCAAACGCGAAATTAAAAAGGTTTTTCCACAGTTAGCAGGGCCATAAATATAGATATTTCTATATTTGCCTCTTCCTCGCAGCAGGGCATCATAGACAGCACCAGCGAATATCGAAACACGTATGCCGTTCCCCTCCAATATCTCGGCTGCCGAACGTAGCCATATTCCCTCGCAATTGTCTCGGCACGGTTGTGTCAAATGCTCTTGAAGCAATTGTATTCTAGTTTTGTTTATTCTCTCCAATCGCCATGGTTAGTTCGTGTGCTGTCTCTAGAGCTTCGTTTACAACTCTCGGACCTCGATTGGACACAAATTCTGCCAAATCCGTCTTGCCCTGTTCTTGCCACTTGCTTGCCAGTGCCATTAGTTCCAGCCGCGACTTGATTCCTTTCGTTTGGATTATCCGGACGACGTCGTAAACTGCCATGCGTTTCTTTTTTTTCTTAGTAGCAGCTCCGGCGTTCTTAGCGGTCCCCTTACGTTTTTGGGACGCATTGGTTGTTCGCGGTGCAGTGGCATTTGTGAGATCAGGGTGATTATCAGACAGGACATAATCTGCGTCATCTTTTACTACATATTTATACGCGCTGAAGTAATTATCGTGTTTATCTGAGAAGTTCACTTTGATTCCATGACGCATGTCAAGAAAATTCCGGACGGCCAGCCACCTTGTTTTCTTGTCCAGTTTCAATGCCATATGGAAATGCTTGCCACCATCCTGATGCATTTCTTCACTGACTACCCACTGGATTATTCTTGAGAGACAGGAGTCATTCCACGCATCGAGTATTATCTGGGCAAATGCTTGTCTACTTAGACCTGAATTACCGCATTGACTATAGGTTATGAAATAAATCGATCTTTGTTTTGGAGGCTTGGATTGAACAGCTTGCGTTCGAGACGAAGACATACTTGAATATGATACACCTTCGTGTTTAGCGGAAACTCCAAAATACCTATTAGGTAGTATGCAGGCTAAACCTTATACTCCCACTCAAAATTATGATCTGGAACATAATTCAGAAAATATTTCAGCATGCATACAATTTTATTCTTCCATTTTTAAAGCTTATTAAGATGTATGACATTGGTTTTATTTTAGATGTCGTAGCGTAGTTATACAGACTGTATACATAAGTGGAAAAGTAATATATACAACCCCCCCCCCCTTTGCGAAATACTCTTTGAACAAATCAACCTTTCTGGAAAGCATTAAAAATTAAAATGCATTATTACTCTATAGAAAAAAATTACAAGACACAGTGGAATAACGATTAAATGTTGAATTAATCATTAAAATACATAAACAAGTCTCTATATCATAGACAATCTTTGACAATATACTATGGGACAATGTCGTTTCAAAAACGTTATATAGACATTGTACAACTTTTCCACGTGAATATTCATCCCTCCCTCCCCCCACCCTTTTCAATGTTGCGTTGATGCCAGATGACGTCTCGTTTGCGATGTATCCATTTTTTGTGACATCAACATTGAACGGGGGGCGCGGGGGGAAGTGGACAGAAGAAGTTATATGAACTTTCACTATTTGTCTCATAGTTTTTGGCAAAGATTGTAGCTACTTCGCCACTCATATAAATTGCTTGCGCCATTGTTTACGTGTCACGTGACCAACCAGTTGATGCGGGAGGAAATTGCATAGCAACCGACCACCGTGCAAGCAATTATGTATTGCGAGATGCCCTTCGGTCATACGGCAAACACAGTGGTCCTCTTTCGCCCAAGCAAATGCAATAAACTACGGAAGCTCGGAATGAAGCAATCATGCAGTGCAATTCGCTCCCGTCCCATACCATACGAAAGCACAATACCCAATTACCATTTTATTAAAGGCGAAAGTAATCACTATAGCCTAGCTATTTTGCTTTTCAACAAGTTAATCTTGCGAAATACACGACCCGCTCGCGTAGAACATTAACAAAATTAACAATGCTAATAATACCAGACGGGAATCATTCATGCGTCGCAATCTCAACTGAACTAAAATAACCGAAAGCGAACTTGACGGTAAATAACCCCGCACAAGGACGGAAATACACATCAAATGAAGATATAATGTATAACATACAACAGAACTGTAACTAAAACCAGAAGTGTAAGCGATCCTTAAACACACACAGAAAAGAGGCGGCCGTATTTTCCGATCAGCCGCCCTCGAGTGAACCATGCATTGCATGCATGCGTTATACAACGAAAAACAACTTCGCCACACCGATCATATACTGCTAACAAAGCGATATAACAGGGGCGGATCTAGGGGTCGTCAAATCAGTCGCGCGACTGAAGTAAAAATTGCCTACTTAAAAAAAAATTGACTCCAGCTATCTATAGTGGCCAGTAGATCGAGTTACTAAATTTTGAATCGTACCGGTAGTCCAGTTATACGTTTCATGCTGCGGCAGAGCTTCGGCAAAGTAATGTTAGTCAGTCACGAACAGCGGTCTTACGCATGAAAGTTGACGGATTCGGGGGTCAAATCCGGCTATCTGATTGGCTGACACGCTCATTTCCATGGTTACGGCCATTTGCGACGGATCTGTGGGGAGGCCTGACGGATTTGCAGATTCAGGGGCTCTGTATGAGCCTTTTGATTGAACCATTTAAAAAAATTCTGCACTATCATTGGCTTATATTTTCGACGGATTCGCAACGTGAGGTATTCGTCAAGACCGCATTAGTGTTTACCTCTGAGTGTTTACTATTTCGAACGTTTACTATTACGAGCGATTTCTACCAGCGATATCTGGAATCATTTTCGACAATGTTCAGTTTGCGATTGCGGCAAACAATTTGGAATCTCTATACAACGTTTGTATACGGAGCTTGAAAAGAATATCGATATACAACGTTTGTATACGGAGCTTGAAAAGAATATCGATGCCCCACGGACGAATTTTGTTCACAAGCTACTGAGCGGCGCCATCAACAACACAAGCAGAAGCCTCGCTAGAAATTTTGGCGCAGAGAGCTACTGCTAGAGAAAGACAAAGCGTGCACTGCAATAAGGTTGATAAATTTATGGTTTTATAGTGATGTATCTTTAGTTCATGAAAGGTTTATAAACCGGAGTACCAATTAAGCCATCGGTGTTGTTAATGATTGTCTGACATATGATATTTTAATATATTCGCTATGCTGTATTGCTGTATTAGCATAATTCTCGCGTCAAGAAGCTAAAATATGTTAATATTCAATGTCTACATTGTAAGCATTTGTTGATTCTCATGTTAGTGAAGTTTTATTTAAAATTTCTTTATATTTATGCATTAATCACACAACATGTACGCGTAACGCGTATACGTGTATTGTTTATCCATAGCCTTTCGACATGGCTTGAACATAGACCGCATTGGTCTGATGTAACATGATGATGTGAAATATTTAATTGTAGGTAGCTTGAAAAGCTCTTTGACTGGTAGCCATTCTGATGTTACTAGTTTATTAATAGTATATTTTGTGTTCAATATATAGACCACAGTAAGACTTTATTAATAGTAAGGGTTTAGTTTATTAATATTTGACTTAACATCTTTGACTTAGTTAATAAATATGTGGTTGTTTTTTTGGAGCTCAGGCTACTGGCAATTACTTCTTATGTATAGTTCTGTGTTTTTGGTAACAGAACAGTATATTTCCTTAATGCATTTGCTGCCATATGATTTTAGAAGTTTTACAATGATACACTTATAAGCATATAGTACCAATATGACGACGATTCTTAATCCACAGGCAAACATGTTAAATTGCTGCTGAGTTTTAAAGTATTATCATCAATATATCTTTGTGCATTTGTAGTTGTTCTTACAGTGCCTGTGGATAAGAATCAAATGTTCGTTTGAGTTTATCAATTTAATCTAAATATGTTTTATAATTTGGTTAATTAGGATTTAGGTTAATAGGTGTGTGTGGGGGGGGGGACCAAATCGCATATTATGCCTTTGTACGGAAAATTCTAAAATCCAGTGGCGGACTATCAACATAAAAATTATTTAGCGCCCACTCCCCCCGTCTGGAGTCGACCACGCCCAGTCGAGACCACGCCCAGCGCCGATAACGCCACGTCCACCAAAAAAATTTTGACTGAGGTACGAAAAATCCTAGATCCGCCCCTGCGATATAACTACCCAAAGGGCAAAAATCTTAACTAAACCCGCAAAAAAAACACGCTACAATATAGACAAATACCAATATGAATAAAAGAATCACGTCCAAGTCCAAGTTTGATGCCTGAAGCTGTTCGTTTTCAATTGGATCATTCACCGGCGAAACGAGTTCATTCTGAGGCGGAGCGGAATCAAGATCAATCGGTTGGGCACTGCACAGCATTAAGTCGTAAGTACTGCTTCTTGTAAACGTGCAAGGAGGTCGAACAGGCGTTGAGTCATACTGTAAAGTCTGTAAATTTATTTATCTTGCACTTCTCTGTCTTGGCGATCAGCACAGAAAGAGCAGTTACAACCTGTAAACTAGGGTTTTATGCATTGTACTTCATTATTTATTCATAAAACAACGTTAATTACTCAAATCCATTAGTTAATCAGCTTCCGCGGCGTGTTTGGCCAATTTGAATAGGCATGCGTAATAAAACATAAGACAAAAGGAAAATAATTAATCAGGAATGTGAAACTTGAGTAGCGACATATGGATATTCCTCATTAATCATTTTCCTTTTGTCTTATGTTTCATTACGCATGCCTATTCGATCTACAATGAAAGGTGATAGCTTTTCGAGCGCGCACACTTGGAGGAAATGCTCATTCGTGACAAAAAAAAATTCAACACGTTGGATATTTGTCTTACGCGTCACGAGTGACGAAAAACTTGCAAAAGTGCACCGCACACGAGAGCTTTCTCCTTACGCCAACAGTCACGAATGACATTTTGCTAAGCACATAGCTCTAGTGTGCGCCGGGCTTTAAGCCCGCCGCACACGAGAGCAACTTGATGAGCTAACCGCCTCGCGAGGCAGCTAGCTCAGCTATGTATTTTCACCGCACACGTTGGGAAAACTACTCAACAACAACACAATTGACAAAATCATTTGCATTTTCCTCCATTTTGTTCCAAGTCACATGAAGAAACCATGGTTTGTCATTGGCTAATTGATTCAAACAGCTCATCACTTAGCTCACAACATCCGCAGACGCTGAGATTTTCTCCTCGCGAGGCGAAAAATATCAAACACGATAGATATTTTCCTCAAGGCCTCGAGAGGTCAAATCCTCACGAAAACTATCCGCACACGAGAGCTACTTGCCGAGCTAACCGCCTCGCGTGGCAGCTAGCTCAGCAAGTTCCTCTCGTGTGCGGATAGTTTTCGTTAGGATTTGACCCCTCCAGGCCTTGAGGAAAATATCTATCGTGTTTGATATTTTTCACCTCGCGAGGAAAAAGTCTCAACGTCTGCGGATGTTGCGATCTTAGTGCTGAGCTGCTTGAATCAGTTAGCCAATGAGAATCATAGTTTCTTTCATGTGATTTTGAACACAATGGAGGAAAATGCAAGCGATTTTGTCAATTATGTTGTTATTGAGTAGTTTTTCCAACGTGTGTCCATGGTGCGGAAAATGCATAGCTGAGCTAGCCACCACGCGAGGCGGTTAGCTCAACAAGTTTCTCTCGTGTGCGGCAGGCTTTAAGACGATACGTCTTTCGTTTGCTTTTTCTTCGCAAACTTGTTTTTGCGACCACTTCGTTCGATTCTACTTCTTCTCTACTTGCAATTGGACTCATTGGTGCTTGTAAGGCATTTGATACTTTTCCAGCAATTTATCGCTTGGCCGTTTATCTTTGTAAGTCTTGTAATACCGTACTTTTGTGTCCCGTTCTCGCCATAATTGTTTAATTGCTCATCAAAGTTGCCACTCTCGTTCAGTTGGGTTGCATATGTTACGTAAGCATAAATACACAAATAATTAAACTGCACTCTTCCGTTAAACATTATTTCTTTGCCTTCAATTTCTTCTTGGATGCAGCAATTCTCTAAGACTGTTAGAGCATGGTCATTTTTGACTCACGGATGTTGCGAAGCAACATCTGTGAGTCTTTGTGGTTTACTTGAGCGGGGCAGTTAAACAATGGGAAATGACCAGCCTGCTTTGCGCGCAGTGTTTGCCTGCGAACGGGTCTTTTGGAACCGGAAATTGGGCTGGAGCACGCTTCACGTTCTTTTCAACTTTTGACTTTTTGACAAGCGTATGCTAAATTAAAAGGTGAGTGTTTCGTTTTTGTTTAGTTGACTCTCGAGTTGACTTAATTGTTATCTGTTTTCCTACTTCACCCAACAGAGCTGCTGTTAACACACTGATCTACCTTTTAGCTGAAATATTAACAATATTTTGTTCAATATATATACAAGTGTTCACATTTTCTGGTGCCTTTCGAGTGCCTCTGTCAGCTGTGTTTCAACACCGTTTCAACACTGTTTCCATAGTTTCTGTCGATTGAAAGAGTTTTTTGTTTACCAAATTTAATCATGTTATTTAAATAATTCATGTTTTAGCTGTCACGGAATACAAAGGACATATTTGTCTTATTTGAAGCAACACGACACAAAATCTTGGTATTAAAGTCACGTTGCCGTTGTATATTTCACATGACTGCGCTTGCACTGTAGCCTAGTATCAGCTGGCACGGACGAGTCTCAGCAGTGTATCGATAGATCGCTTCATTTTTATCCTTTATCAGGAGAATTTCAGCTGTCCTTATGCTCTTTGATGAATGTCCCACTTATATTTTGACGCAATGAAACAACATCAAAACCACTAGTTAATCCAACGAAACTCTGTCGGATTACAGGGGATGGCAATTGTTTATTTAGAGCACTGTCATATATTTTAACCGGTAGACAAACATACCACATGATTTTAAGACAAAAAATAGTGGATCACATGAACAGTATAGAACATGTCCTTAGACCATATATGAATAGTTCAGTAGATCATTATTTAGCCACAAGCAACATGAGGAACAGTGGTGTGTGGGGGACTGATATTGAAATTTTTGCAGCCATTCCCTTTTCAATGTAGATATTTATGTTTATTCACAGTTTGGTAACAATTATAAATGGTCTAAAAAGAAAAAGAACATTGGACACTGAGGCAGCATTACCACCTGGATTTACTTAAACACTGTACTGCCATTGGATGTTCAGCTACCTGTACCGTTGTATCAATAAGGGTGCTGTTTTATAGTTGTTCTGTTTAAATTTTTCTGTTCAACACTGTACACTGTACATCGTACAGCTACGGTCATTGATGCAGCATGTACTGTATTGGTTACAGCTTTATACCAGTGGCGAAGCCAGCCCGACAATTTTGTCATGCTATGCACATTTTAAATCATTATTCATTTCTTCCGAAATTGATTGTTTTCACGGTTGATGAACACGGAAATATTTGCATAGCATGACCAAATTGTCGGGCTGGCTTCGCCACTGCTTTATACTTATAGCTATCATGTTTAAATTGTCCTGTTCAACACTCTAGATCGGACAGCTATGGTCATTTGATATATTACATTGGGTACAGCTTTATACTTATTATAGTTATCATGTTTAAATTGTCAGTCTGTTTAACACTGTACATATCGGAAAACCACGGTCATTGGATGTACTGATACTGACTGTATTAGGTACAGCTTTATGCTTTATACTGTATTAGGTACAGCTTTATTCTGTTGAACACTATACACACCTGACAGCTACGGTTATTGTACTTTTATATAGATTTGCTTTGATAGTGTGTAGTTTTATAATAATCTATTCAGATTGTTTTTTCAAGACTGTTGATATTGGTTAGGGACCTCTCATTATTTATGGAAGGGGGAGGGGAATTTTTTCTTTTCTAAATTTTTAAAATTGAAAGCCCCCCCCCTAAATGGCAGAAATTTAATGATGCCCCCCTGCATATTAGAATATTTTTCTTTGACCCCACCCCCCATTTTCATTTTTACTCGTCAAATGGGGATACCCAGGCGTTATAGTATTAATTATTAAATAAGAATATGGAACTGGCAAGATATTAACGTCGACCAAAAATATATATTTATTAGCAGAAAATTATAATTTAAAGAGGAGTATTTTTATATATAACACTAAAATCAGGTTTCCATTTGGTCTGGGCGATTGTAACCATGTTTAAGGCTGCAAGTAGACTTGATGGTACGAAGTATTGCCATAGCAGCTGCGCAGCAACAATGAAAGCAACAATCAGTAATATTAGCAGCAAAAGGAGATAGCAATGACAATTCTGCCAAGGCATACCTACGAAATACAATGTATAGTGGTCTATACATCCTATTTTATGTGAGATTAAAAATTATATAAAATAAAATGACATATACTAGCTACCAGATAAAATCTTTTAGAATGAACATGGGTGGGTGGGTCGGGAAAAGGTATCGAAGCGCAAAACTTGCTGCAGCTAGGCAAAGCATACAATGGCAGAATGAATACCCAGACCGAAGCACTGATCACAAGGCATGAAACAACCCCCTTTGATCGATATGACGTCACAGATTCCCCTCAGCGGATGTGGCCTGCATAATAAAAACGCCGTTAACCTTGCTTAATTTAAAGGTATTTAACCACATCAAGAGCTGATGTAATAATACATTGTCAATTTAACTAGTCTGCAATCCGTAAAGACTGATTTGCATACAGCACACACAAGACAAGATGAATCCAGACTATTTCACATCAGTGACCATGATTTAGTTGCAACATTTACAACCAAATGGATAGCAGGTTATTAAGCAAATTCCTTCAAGTTTAATTGCAACCCCCCCTGTCATTTTCTTGAAAAAATTTAATAGCCCCCTTCTAGTCATTTCTACATGTGCCCCCCCCTTATTTTTTCCCTCCCCCCCTTCCATAAATAATGACCGGTCTAAGATCTCGGGAACATTTTATATTATGTCGTGTTTTACCAAATAATGTCCTTGCCCTTGCACGGTTCCCATATGTAAAAAACTGCTGTAAATCATATCCCCCTTTAATTAATTTGATCTCATCCGTGAGTCGGCCTCGACGGCCTTTGATTAAGTTTTACTGTATGGGATATAGAGGCCTATAACCCCTCGTGACCGTTTAACTAATTCTCGGGACTCTATAGAGCACACGTGACCATGACTTAATTGTTACGCTAATTTCAAGGGTTTATTCAAGTGTGAAGATAACAAATTTAAATAATGATATATCCAAACTTCCAAGTCTTTGAGTTGAGATTATGGAGAAGTTTTCGATCAAATCCATCGTTCTAAAATGGTATTACTTTTGGTGCGTTGGGAGTGTGGTTGTCTACTCAGAATTCAGTCATCTATACATGAAACAACTTGGTTTAAGTCCACGGCAGATTGGATTTACAAATCTTGTGGGAGTTCCGAGTCTATTCATACCATTATGTCTATTCATTGGCGACAAATTTCGGGCACGAAAACTTTTGGTCACTATTGGATTGGTTTTTCTGGTCGTATGTTATTTTCTGCCGCTGCTTCCTTTAATATTTTCGTCGCCAGCGCCTTCTTGTTTAACATCAAACAAGTCGATAGCGTCGAGATCTAAACATTCTGTCAATGGTTCAGTGCTTTCAATAAATTCTAGATATTTCTCTACAAATAACTTCACCGACAATGCTGACTCGGCGCGTCGAACCGAGAAAGAGACAAGTTATTCTGAAAATGTTTCCCGGGTTAGCAAATTGTTTCTCCTAATGGTTGTGTCCAAATCAGCATTTGAATGTCCACATCGAGTGGTCATAGCTCTAGCAGATGTGGTGACCATTGCATACCTTAAAGGGAAAAGAGCAAATTACGGTGCATATTTTATGTGGAGCCATATTGGTGGGGGTATTTCGATATTCACTGTAGCTATGTTGGCATTGTTTATCAGAATTAACATTTGTGGGACAGAAGCCTATGGCTATTTTACAGCGTATATCGTTGCAGGCTGTATGGTGCTACTTTCTATGCTTTCTCTGCCGTGGCTTCGGTATGAATACGACGAAAATAAAACTATTAACTGGTCACAAATAAAATCAGCATTATGCAATGCTCATTTCGCACTCATGTTTTTCATTCTTTATTGTACTGGAATTCTTGTAGCGTTTCAGATATTCTGGGAGTTATGGTATTTAGACGGATTGTCTGCAAGTCCTTTAATAGTGGGTATAGCTGGGTTGGTTCGTCGACCAGTGCTGGCAGGTTGGATGCTATTGTCTTGCGAGTTGCTGAAAAGAATTGGTGAGCTGAAGGCTATATGCGTCGCGTTGTTTCTGTTCGCTGTGTCCTTTTTGGCTTTGTCCTTCACACGGGTACCATGGTTTGTGCTGGCTATCGACATATTTCAAGCGGCTGCTTATGGACTGGCATTTTGTAGCTTCACAGTGCATTTTTCAAAAGCAGGTTCAAAAGCAAATTCAGGAGTTATTCGCGGTAAGTCCTTCTTTAACTCATTTCCACATTCTTAATAATTTAAACAGGGAAAAGTAAAAATTTGAAATTCTCAGACACAGCGATGTCGGAACCCGGGTACAGGTTGCAACTTGTATTCAGAACTTTGTCGGTGCAATGCGGGTGCAGAAGATTTAACACGTTCGGATTACATACGTAAATTAATTCCTTGTGTCTGTATGCATTGATTTGTTTGTGTTTGATTTTAAACTACGTTATACGTAGGTAACAGCCCTTTGATTTTCGCTTGTGCATATATGTTAAAAAAATGCCTATTTCAGATCGAGTTAGAGTTTTGGTCGTGTGTCGTTAAAAATCGTGTGTTGTTAAAAATCGTGCGTCGTACGCGTGGGGTCGTGGGTTGAAAAATCCCCTACGTTTGCGGGTTTTTGGACCAGGAACTGGTCCCCAATTGCTGCTAATCTTGTTGTTGTTGTTAGGGGACGACACTCTTCGAAAAAAGCCTAAGGCTTCTTCATTTTGAATTTAATTAAAACGATGATTTTAAACGATATTCCTCATCGAATGACGGTGTTCGATTTTTTATTTTCGATTTATATAGGGGCAATGTACAAGCAATTCTTGTCTGATCGAGTAGAGTAATTATGCTTATCATTAATTAATATTCATAGCAAACCCTATCCATAACAAAGATCGTCATGAATCAGCGACCAACCATTGAATTTGTATTTAATCGTTATTCAAATTTAATGTTTATGATCGCTTGTTCATGACTGTCATTGTTGTGGTTGGGGTTTGTCTGTTTATGGACGTATGTCTGGGGTTTGTCTGTTTATGGACGTATGTTTGGCTGAAAGCAAAAATTTCCCGCCCAGAATTAATCCTTCAAGCATTTTCACCGGACAAATAGGGTGTAGATAAAAGACGTATACGGACTGAGGAGCAGTTTATAAACACATTATTGCTACCGCAACTAATACCCTAAATTAAAGTATACTAGCCTATAATATCTGTAAAATAAATATGTTTTCACACGTTCGAATACTTAGCATGCAATAATTATCACTTATTTACTGAGACCAAGGGAAACAGTGTGTTTTGTGGACCCGAGACCGTCGATGTTTCCCGAGGCGAAGCCGAGGGAAACATCGACGGTCGAGGGTTCACAAAACACACTGCTTTCCCGAGGTCTCAGTAAATAAGTGTTTATTATATATCAATAGTCAAAGAAACAACAAATTAAAGAACAAATGAACGTAAATACATGAAATATTTTATTGTTAAAACGTTATATTAAATTAAACACTGGCTACGAAAGCTCTATGGCGAAAGTTTTAATTACGTACTAGGCATGTCCAAAGGTCGCATCTTCACGTGATGGCGCACGTGATTTTTTTTGTTATTCGCCGGTCGATAACGTATTATCTCCCTCTCGCGCTGTTGCGAGGGAGACAGCCTAATTTCGTCACCCTCACGTGATATGCTCTCAACCAATAAAACACTAGAAAAATGCGACTTTGACTATTGATATATAATAATATTTTTTATCTCAGTTCCAGGACAAAACTGAGAATGAAGAACAACAGCAGAATATGAATAAACGTGACTCCGTTGAGCTTGATGTTCAGTCGACAAGCGAATCTCTTCTCGATGAATCGCCACTTGGTGTCCATAATATAGTGGAAACGTCAAAAGCAGGATCTGGAAATGCATCTATGGTCAAGATCAAAACTGAGGATGATATTAAAATGGACTTCGAAATGCTAGAAAAAATTGAAGCAGCTAAAAAAGCATGGGATCACAGTATCTCTTCTGCATCTGCATCTATACAGACATCCCAGTGGAATGCATCAGTAACGAACGATGAAAATACCGAGTCATCGGAGGTTTCGGTTGTGGATCAAATTTCTATACCTTCACCTGAACCTGAGGAAAGCTCCGAACCTCTTGTTACAACACCTAGATTTAAAAAGCCTATCGCTGGTGGACAACAAAATGCTTGTAAAGTAAAATCACAACAGCAGCAACAGCTTGTGAAACCTCAACTTGTTCCTTCTGAAGTACCCGAGGAATACCCGACTACGACTACAGGACCAGTGTTAGAGAGTCCAGCTAGTTACACCGTACAACCACAGCAAGCGGCTATCTTCACCTCAAAACCAGCACCTCAAGGGTTTACATATTCCTTTGAGCAACAAACACTTGTCCCAATTAGCCATCAGTATGTCCAAACAGATATGTCGAGCATACAGCGACATCACGTTTCACCTGTGCGGCCACAGACACTACATGCCGCGTCACAATCACCCCCACAACGTGCGGCAACGTACCCACAGGGACAATCTGTCAGTACGCCATCACCACTCTCCCATCAACCTTTAATACAAGATAGCTATCGCGCATTGATGCAACCAACTGCCTTGGATTCGACAAATACATATGCAGGCAATCAGTATTTCCGTATATCAGTTGTAAGACCTGCAGCCCCACCCCAATTTCCGGCGACGATCAGCGAAGATATCAGCAATTCCATGTACACTGTACAAGCTCCAAAATCTCAAAATCCAAGCCATGGTTATGAGACTGCAACAACCCAACAAGTTTTCTTACCAGTTGAACAACAGCCTTACCCAGACTACGTGCAACCACAGCGTCAACACCCTGTAGGATTTTGTAGTAATAACACAAACCAAGGGAATATCGGTGGTATGGCGGTACACGTGCCCAAATCAGTGACATTCCCTTCAAGTGATAAACAAGTACAGCCCCAGCGTGATAGTCGAGCACCGTCAGGACGACAGGAACAACAATACATGAAACATGTCCATGCTAAACCATTTCAACCTCCAACTAGTGGCCCTTCCGGAAGTGCTACCCACCAGATTGCCCCCAACGTTCGCCAGGTACCAACAGTGTCAGGACAAAGTAATGTAACACCTGCTTATCACGTGAACAATGCCGTGTTGTCCATGCAGGCCACTGGTGCTACAGCATTGCAAGGCAGCGTATCGTCTAGCGCTCACACTGGGACATCGCCGATTGTAACACCAGCTCATGCATTACCCGTTTCCCGCTTGAGTTTCCACCAATTTCCAGGTGCTGTGGGTTCGTTTTCATGTCAAGTTCAAGTTCCTGTACAGCAATTAACACCAACCAACTACCCTGCTGGGCTCACCTACAAAACCACTGGCCCCAGCTACCCCACCACCACGAGTGTTGCCAACCAACCTGGCGTACTTGTACATAAACCAGCATCCATGATGAGGCAATTAGTGACAGCTGGTCGCGGCGCACCAGTTCCTCACCGAATGCCAGAACCAATACAAAGACCCAACAAAGTCGGGTACCATCTAAGTACCCTAAAAGAAAAGCAGTTGAATCCGCAACCACGATTAAAAACTGTTCATCCGATGCCAAGTCGAAGGGCTTTTAATCCAGTCGGTGCTGCCCAACCCCAAATAGCAGCGTACCAGTTTCAGGCCTTACCCAGACCTCAGCAACAAATACAACCACAGCAGCACCAACAGCAACAAATGTTCAGAAATCAGCAACATCAACAGATGTTAAGCAACGTGCAACAATTCTTCGCCGAAGATAAAGAAATCGAGCATCAAAGAAAACAAAAACAAGCGAACCAAAAACGAGAACCGGTTGCTACCACAACAACTAACAGCAGTGGCGACAAGCAGAAGAAACGTAGGCAGCAGATACCGGACAGAAGAAGCATCCGTACTGCGCAAATTCCCCCTCAAAACAGAGCAAAGCCAAGCGGTCCGAAACAAGAGCTTATTCAGCAGCAAATGGTAGGAGTTACTCCTTCCAAGAACGAGACAGAGAAAGTCCAGCCACGTTTGGATCTAAAAACGGAGCCGGTTGAAATAAAGAACTAAGTTGAAAACTTTTAAAACTCATACCAATGTGTTATGATGTTATTTAGATTATTATTGTTTAATAAGGTATTGTAAAGATAGTTTTTACTTGTCCTTCATGACAAGTTTGCGTTTTTTTCAAAATGATACGTGAAATAGGCCACAAGGAATATTTGGTTTACAATTATTTTTCATTGTGGATAAAATAAAAATATTAGCAATAAAGAGATTGGTCTGGTTTTAACCTTCCATTTGTTCCATTTTCGAAATTATATTGTGCATTGTGCCAAGTTTATATGCCATGGCTTTGCCGTAGGACCGTGTTAATGCTTATTTCCATATTTACTGTCCAAATCCAAAATTTTTTTGCGCATATGTTGCTCTATGCATAGCCCATGAGAAAAAACTTGAAATCCTTTCCATTTAAGGTGGTCCAAATTGAAAACAGTGTGGTTGTGACGTAAAGTACTACTGTGCTATATAAAAATCAAGATTTTTGTGGCATCTCACTCGAATGAATAATATTTGATGGGTATTGTATTTGGCAGGAACCTAAGTTGCATTTTTCGCAGCTGTTCCTTGTTAGATCTAATGAATGTATATAAATTTCCACTCGACAATTTCCATCTACAATACCCATCAAAGTGTTTGAATGTAGCCTAATTTACCTGAATAACGTTGGATTTTAGGTGTTTACTTCATCTATTCAACAACCTCTGTATTTGTGAACTTCTGGGGAAAACTTAAATATAGGTAAGTTTACACTTCAATTTTTGCTGCGATTTTCTGGATGAGATTGAGGGATTGATTGAGGATACACAGTACTCGCAACATTCACACTGAACTACTCGTTCACATGCATCAGAAGAAAATGATCGCAACATGAATTGCGAGTGTTAGATTCGACTGCAGCATTTGTTGGTGGGTTATTAAGGACTTTAGGATCCAAAGTATTCTTGCAAGACGAAGTACTGGTGATGTTTTTGTAGCGAAAAACTGCACCTCTGGGTCCAAAATGCTAATCAAAATCCCTAGGGTGGGGATGCAATTAATGGTCAAATACCCCACATACCCCCCCCCCCCCCC